AGCCCAGACTGGTCTTGAACTTGCAAATCCTCCTACCTCAGCCTCCTGAGTGCTGGAATTACAGGTGTGAGTCACCACACCCGGCCTTGAAAGCTTAATTCTTGTAATACTTTTCAACTTGCTCCTCTTCTCCTATTTCTATCATGCTCTGGCCAGTTGATTACCAGCTCGTGTCCCTGGACCACCTGACACTGTCACATTGCATTTACTAAGCAGACCATGCCTAAGTGGTTTCTCTAATGGATGAAGAGCTAAGGATTTAATTAAAATGTTCGTATTTTCTTCTTTCTAAATGTTTCTTTGGTATACTGAATACATTTCTGCTATTTACTCAACATTTTAAAAAGACAGCGATTATCCTAAAAGGGCTATATAATAATTCCCAAAATAGGATTCTAGGGCCAGGGAGATGGCTCAGTGGAATAAGCGCTTCCCTTGCAAGTGCAAGGGCCCGAGTTCAATCCCTGGTTCCACAAAAATAAATAAATAAATAAATAAAAATAAAAATAATAATAATAATAATAATGTTTCCCAAAATAGGATTCTGGGCTGCAGAGTCAGTTTTTAATACTAAGTTGGTGAGTTTCTCTAATCCATTATTTTATTTACCAATAATGATGTTTGTTTCATCTCTGCAATTACTCATAATCACTTAGAACTTCTAACATCTCTAGTATATTAATGATAATGTTTCTATCAAAACTGACACAGATACTCCACTGAGCCTATCATTGTTATTATCGTACTTATGGAAATATATTAATGTTTATTATCTGTCCAGTGAGTCTACCATTCTAAGTTCCAAATACGGTAGTTCCTCACCCAAAAATAAAGTTCAAAGGGTCAGTTCAAAAGTTCAAAAGCAAATAGCTCCACAGCCTGTTTCTTACTTTTCACCACAGCAATTCTCTGCAGTAGCCAAAAAGATGCCCCCTATTTAAAAAGTTTGCTTTGTTCTCTTCTCCTCCACTTGAACTACCATCTTCCTCATCACATTACTTTCTGCCATTCAAGTCACTCTTCAAATTGCACCTACTCTCCAAGAATCTGCCTTTGTTGTTGTTGTTGAACTTTTATAGCAATCCCTGAATGATGCACATGGAAATTATCACACTCATCACCCCATATGTAACTAATGCACACACCCACCCCAGTCCTGGAAATTGGACCCATGCCTCATGCATGTTAGACAAGCACCCACCCTCCCACTAAGCTACTATTCCAGCTAGTACAGCCTATGCTACACCATTCTTTAACTCTTTCCTAAACTACAAAATGAATTTTTCTTACTTGCGTGTTTCTAAATAGACATTATATGTAGCACGAGCATAAACAGGGACAATACCTTATCTCTCAGTCTCCTGCCTCCATCTACTCTATGTGGCACACTGCCAGTGTTCAATCCACTGAGGTTAACTGAAGGCTTATATGTGAAGGGAAGTAAATACGTAATCCTAAATTTATATAATATAATAATCTTATTTAGAATAATTTTCATACCTTAAGCATTTGCCCTTGCTTTTATGGTCCTGTTTTCTATTTATTCACATTATGTAACTAACAGGTATCACTATTTCCCCATTTAAAAAAACGTAACAGTCATCCTTGTATATGCTAAAACGAAATGCAGGGTTTTTAAGCATTTTTTAAAATTTGAAGTAAAAGCTTTCTTGAGGGACTAAGAAATTCAGCGAGGTATAATTTTTCTAAGATTACACACTGGGATAGTATTCTGAACACCTGAAGAAATGGGAGTACACCTATGCTGGTAAGGAATCATCAGTACATACCTTCTACAGATCTGTGCCCTTTGCTCAGATTACCAGAGAAGACATAATCTAATCTATCTGAACAGCTAAGATTTTCACTTCCTCAACCCTCAGACTGCCATCACTTTTTAGTTATGTCAACATCCTACACTCAGGGCCAGGAAGATAGCTCAATAGAATAAGCACTTGCCTGGCAAATGCCAAGGTCCTGAGTTCAATTTCCAGTACCACCAAAAAAAAAAAAAAAAAAAAAAAAAAAAAAAAAAAAAAGGCCACATCCTACATTCAATTGCTTGAGGGATTTTTTTAATGTATCACACGATATCTTTATTTTCAAATTAATAATCACAGTTTTAGATAAAATGCTTATATATTGAGGTACTAGCTATAAAAGAAAGACTCAGAATTAGTGCTCTAGCCCAATGATCGCAAACACTTCAAAGCTTTCAATGATAGCAAAGAGCCCACAGTGGCACACGTGCCCTACACTCGCCACCACTGCTCTGGACTAAGATACTTTGCTAGGGGGATTTAGCCCCACTTATGCCACACACTAACACTGCAGCACAGTACTTATGGACTCTTCCTTTTCACTGTGACTCTTTATTGTTGAGAAAAAATAAATTCTACTTACTGCAATGCAATAGCAAGTCCTAGAAATCAATGCAACTGAGATGATAATTCCTACTCAAGGTTCTACTACTTCTCAAGGAATTTCATTATTCCCTTAATTTTCAATATGTATGTTTCAAAGATTCAAGTCATTTTATTTTTACCTGGCCCAAAACTTGAAAAAGCTATGAGAAATCTCATATTTACCTTAGAAATTCTAAGACTGAATGCCACGTTAAGAAAAAGGAATTCTGGTGTGAGTATTAAAACAAACTATAGAGAAAAGCAGGCTGTAGCACAGCAATACTCATAGCGACAGCACAGAAAAGGGTAAAGGGATAATGAGTTTTGCTCTGCTGAAGCACAAGAGTACAGCAAAGATGGTTTATCTCAGGTTCAATGTTCAGACAGTGATAAGACATGGATAAAAGAATGAAATTACACTCGGGTTTTGAACGGAGAACACAAGGCAAATAATAAGTCACTAACTTCTAGTGCTGGCAGCAGCATGCAGGAGACGGTGAGAGATTTAAAAGTAAATTCTTAGCTCAAAATTAAGGGATAAAGTAAGGAAGAAAGGGCTGGGGCGGTAGCTCAGTAGAATAAGCGCTTGCCTGACAAGTGCAAGGGCCTGAGTTCAACCCCTGGTTCCGCCAAAATAAATAAATACATAAATAAATAAATAAATAAATAAGAAAGGAAGAGATAGAGGGAGGAAATAGTGATAGCCCAAACAAAATGACCTGATGCCAAGAAAATGACAAGGCTACATACAAAACAGAACTGTACTACTTTAATTTTAATACATTTTCTAAAACTTTAACTGATTCTATAAAATGAGAAACAGTAATAATTATAGTCCTTATGTGAATAGGATCATATATAGTATTTATATTGTAAAATTACTTCAAATGCTTAAGAAATAAAACTTACCCCATCACTTTCTCTATGTGGATTCAGTCTACTATAAACAGCTTCAATAACATTGCGCCTAAAGAAAAAACCAGAGCTTTATTTTATTGCATACTTCCAAGCTCATTTTTCAATAATACTTTATTTTGGACTATATTATAAAACTGTCGAACTAAATATTGCCAAGAATATAGTTTCTACATTTCAGTGTTTGACCTTGTATAATCCATTTTTCCTATTTTGCAAGAAAAAAAATCTTCAAAGTATAATAAATTATTTTTTAATTTTTTTTTTTTCCCCCCTGGAACTGGGGATTGAACTCAGGCCCTTGCGCTTGCCAAGGAAGCACTTATTCCACTAAGCCATCTCCCCGGCCCTAAAAATCATTTTTAGGTAAAGTTTTAAACTTAATTTTAAAAAAAGTTCTTCAATACAAGAAACATCAACTCACTTAATCTCTAAATTACCTCTATACATTTTTTTAAAGATGACACACTTTTTTTTCCAGAGCCAGGGACTAAACTCAGGCCTTTGTGCCAACTGAGCTATCTCTCCAGCTCTGATTTGTATTTTTACCCTAAATTACTAATAGCTCAGCAGCAGGGCACACCAAGTTTGATTCTCCAGACCACAAAAAGGCTTTTTGTTCTACTTACTTGCCGGCAAGACCTCCCCCAGGAGGTAAATTTGGGATATTTTCTGCAGACAAAATGCGCATGACATGGGCAAGATCAGGCATTCCTTCCTCACCAGACTTCTCCATAATTTCTGCAGTTTATAAAAAAAAAAAAAAAGAGTTCCTTAATTAATGTTGACAAATAGCCCAGTAGTCCCAAAGAAGAGAAATAGGTAGTGTGTGGCAGTGCCTATTTTAAAATATAAAACAATCTCTACCACTAACAGGGAACAAAAAGCATTGTAAGAATTTTTTTGCATGCATGTATGTGCTCACTGCAATATTATTTTTTTTAAATTTTTTTTTAACATTTAGTGTGTGTGTGTGGCCAGCTCAGCCCACCAGGGGGCGCGGCTGGCTGGCATGTAGTGCTGGGGGATCAAACCGTGGTCCCTGTGCTTTGCCAAGCTTGTTCCAAGTAGGTGCTTTAGACCACTGAGCCATCTCTCCAGCCCCATGCAATATTATTAATAAAAGTAAAAACTATAATTAAATGTCTCAGCATAAGGGAACAGTTAAGGAAACCGTGATCTAGCCACCAAGTGAAACGGTTTAAAAATAGATAAAAATAGGGGCTGGGGAGATAGCTCAGTAAAATAAGTGCTTGCCTGGCAAGCGCAAGATCCTGAGTTCAATCCCCGGTTCCACCAAAAAAGTAAATAAAACTAAATCACAGTACTAGCTAATGTGTAGAAACAAAAAACTGGATGATTAAAAAATCAAACTCTTCAAAAGTCAAATGATGGCAACTTTAAGATAAAAGCAGCAGCAGTGTCCTAAGCAGCCCTCAAAATGTAAATCCCCAACCTCTCACCCTCGTGTCTCTCAAGGAAGATGCAGAGAAGGGCGCACACACTTTCCTCCCATTGATTCCTGTGGGCACCAGGATTTCAGTACATACTGCCTACAATTCTCTAATGCAGCTGATGCGTTCTGCCCTATGATGTGTGCTTTTAAGTGAGTTCTTAATGGAGAAATGCCAGCTAAGCTCCAGGCCCTTTGGCGAGCAGAATCTTCACTGCCCTGTCACCACACACAGTGTCACAAGGATCTTCAGCTCCCCTTCACCTCTGCCCCAGGGCCACATCTCCAAAGGTGCCTGGCAAAGCAGATTCCTCCTCCTGGGCTTGGAACTCTTCTGCAATTCACTGAACACGCCCTCCCAAAGGTTAAGTCCTGGTCACCCTTCAGTTTCATCTGTACATGTTACTTTCTCAAGTATTTTCTGTCCCAAACCTAGAGTAGGTACCCTGCTCTCTATCCCAACCCAAGTTTATTATATCGTATTGTGCCCTTCTTGAGCTCTCTCCAAACAGAAAGATTCTTTAAAACCAGTTAGATCAAGTCAAAATCTTTCAATAAATTCCCATTACAACTTGAACCAAGTTCAAAGTCCTCTAAGTTCAGTCTTCAGAACTCTTTGTGTGCGCTTCCTCACCCTCTCTCTTAATCTTCTACTTTCTTACTGGGCCTCAAGGGACTCCTCAGCCCTTGGTGCTCTCTTTGCCTGAAATACGCTTTCCCAGAAACTTGCTTTCCATAAACAGCTCTCTGCTCAAATGTCTTTCCTCACAGAGACTTCCTAACCAATCTTCTTGTTATTCTGTTTACTTGGGATTTCCCTTTTTAAATTTTTAAAGTATTGGTTTCTACTAAAATACAAACTCCAGGGCTGGCCAAATAGTTCAGTGGATTAAAGAGCCTGCAAGCAGGAGCAGAAGCTGGGGGTTTGATCCCTGGGCCTGCTGTGCCGGCCCCGCCCCTGGGGTGAGCTGAGAAGGCAAATGGGACAGCATGGTGCTGCGCGCCTGTAATCCCAGCTCTTGGGAGGCTGTAAACAGGTGGATCACTACATGTCCCATCTAGGAGACCCTTCCCTAAAATACAAAAATAAAAATAAAATATAAGTTCCAGGAAACTTGTCTTGTTTTTTGCTATAATCCTGATACATTTACTCAACAAAATTTGAATGAAATAAATGGAGTAGAAAGCACTCACTACACATCTAATTAACTTAGCTTAAATACTATTCCTGTTTAATGTTGCATTTTCTATCAGCCATCAGCACCCACCAAAAACAAAGGGCTGGGATGTAATTCAGTAGCAAAGCAATTCTCTCGCATGCGCAAGGCCCTGAGTCTGATCCTCTCCAGAGCAAAACACTTACAACAGCCTTACCCAATATATCAGAAGCTTTCAGCTCAAAAATTTAGTGATTTAAAATTCTAGCACAGGGGCTTGCCTGATAGCTCAGTGGACTAAACGCCTGCTCAGGTAGAGCGTGGCAGCTGGGATTCGATCCTCCATGTGTGGTGCAAGCCCCGCCTGTGGGGCATGCTGAGACTGGGCATGGTGGCACACGCCTGTAATCCCAGCACTTGGGAGGCTGAAAACAGGAGAACCACTATGAGTCCGTTCTACGTAGTGAGGCCCTGTATGCCTTGTCCTAAATTCAGAAAATAAAATTCTAGCACAAACTGCTCTTCAAGAATAATGCCTTTTATAAGAATCCAAGTTAAATTGCCAGCCATAAAAGGGGGTGGCAGGGAGATGACTCAGTGGAATAAGCACTTTCCTGGCAATCGCAAGGGCCTGAGTTCTATCCCCCGTTCCACCAAAAAAATAAATGAATAAATAAAAATCAATTGCCAGGCATTTTTAAATGTTTCGATTGGGCGATTACAATCTAGTATTTGGGGCCAAGTGTGATGGAACACATCTATAATCCCAGCCAGCACTTGGGAGGCTGAGGCAGGAGGACTGCCCCAAGTACAAGGCCAGCTTTGGCTATGTAATGAGTTCAAGGCCAGCCTGGACTGCATAGAGAGATTCTGATCCCTGAAAAGACAACAAAATCAAACAAAAAATACAATCATGTACTTGGTATAGGCCCCAAACATGTTACATAACTGTCATTTCTACCATATAACATACTTTATACAGTTACAAGCTATATATATGTAAAAAATTAAATGATAACAATCCATGTTGGGGCCGGGAATGTATCTCAGTGGCGCAGTGTCTGCCTAGCAAGCACAAGGCCCAGAGTTCGATTCCCGGTACCAAAAAAGAAAATATTAAAAATTAGACCAAAAATACAATCCATGTTGAACTGAATTGAGCAGAATTTTGAGAAATTAAAATTTAGCTGTTGCAGAAGTTAATACTCAATAAAAGCTAGCTTGCTGAGCATATGTATGTTAGGTACTTAATATCCTATTTATTTTGACAAAATTATTTCCTTTGACCAAAATTTCAATCAGTCACTTGAGTTCTGAAAAGGCCAACCTTGGGCTCTCCTCTCTCCTTGGTGACAGTTTGGGGAAAATTATCCTCCTCTGGTATCTGAACACCCTTATCTTTATCTCTCTGGCCCATTTTCAGCAATAATCCTATCAAATCAGTTTATCCATAAACCAGTTTAAACCCCCACACACCCTTCATGTTTCCACCCAGCAATTTTCTATCTGCTGCCTACTATCCCACCCCATGGGTGCAAATGCCCACGTGTTCTTGGTGAAGGCAGCTAAGCTGTCGTTCTCTGCCACTGCAAGTCTCACACACAGTGACCCCGGAGTCTCTCATTATGGCCTCCTTCAGTAAAGTCCGTCTCACTACCTTAATAAGTGTCAGGCCTAAGTTCTTTTCTTTAATGATTAAAACAACCTTATACAGTGTTTATCTTTAGTGTTCAATAAAGAAAGAAACTGGAGTCATGAGAGGTTAAAAGAAGTCAGATTACACTGAGTAACAAATAGCTGACCAAACTGGAGAGCTCTCACAAAAAGTATGTGCTGCCAAAGCGAGCGCTGCTCTTCATGAAATACTACTCAGCTTCTTTGGGAATAAAGAACTAACGCTGAAAACACTCCTCCTGCCTACTGATGATCTAAAGCTAGAACCCACCACCCTAACATACCACAGTTTATCAGGAAATGTAAACTAGCAGTAATGATGACAAGCAATTTCTCTCAAAAATTATTTTATTAAGGAGAACGAGTGCCTCTGACATGGTCTTCAGAGTATCCTCCCATGTTTCCATCTTCTCATCACCCAGGACTCACTGGGACCTACACACAGGGCTCACATCGTTTAGGAGAGACAGCCAGATAGTTAGGAAGCTAGAAAAGATCAATCCCCTCTCCTCAAACCTATACACATTAGTCCAAGATAGTAAATCTAGGCAGACAGGTGTTGATTTTTAAGGTTTTCTTTTGAAACAACAGTTTTTCCGAAGAAAAATTTAAAAGAATCATTTGATAAATAAAAAGGAAGCTATTTCCTTTCCTTCTAAATTAAAGAAAAAAAAAAAGAGCAAATTATCTTCTTACCTTCAACCCGTGATTCCAAGTGCTTATCCAACTCTGAATCTTTTTTCATTGCTTCTTCTGAGACCTTGGGAGCATTTGAAAAGCAAACTAATACAATACTCATGTTATCTCGACTTCCCTGTATATTACAGAAAGAAAAAGAAAAAATAAATTTCTATAGTCTACCAAATTTTTATCTAATTTCTAAACAGGTATTTACTTCCAGCAATTAACAGTTTATTTCATCATTCAGAATTTATACTTTCCAACACACTCATTTTTATTTCAAAGAACTATTTAAAGTTCAACCTGAAGAAATACTGTGCTTGTATGTGGGGAGATCTGTAGCTGTTTCTGAATTTTAATTGTGTGTAACTATCACTATTTCACAGCCTAAAAAGTAAAGACCTCTTCAATATTTGGAACTGTTTCTTCCTTAATATCACATATCCCCGAGAGGCTTACACCCAAACTGTATCCTATTAAGCACCATAGAACTTTCCAGCTAATTAATCTGCCTCAGAACAGTGCTGCCACAACCCTACTGAACCTAATGTAGCTGAAAATTATTATCAGCAGATATCTGAGAAGCAATAAACTACTACAAGCAAAAGATAAAATCAGTTCTTGAGGGTACAGCATCCAACAGTGGGATGTGACTGGACAGCTGTGGCACAACGGTACAGGCCAAGTTTAGGTTTTGGTTTTGGTACAGGACATGGACCCCATGGGTGCTCTACCATTGAGCTACATTCCCAGAACTTTTTTATTTTTATTTTGGGACATTCTCAATATGCTGCCCAGGCTGCTCAAACTTGCAATCCCTTTGCCCCAGCCATCCAAGTAACTGAGATTACAGATAAGCACCACTATACCCAGCATACAGGCAACTTCAAGAAAAGTTGTACAGAATCACAAATACTCTTTGGAGAGCAAACAGCTAATTTAAGGATGAATGTCACTACAACCTTTAACCACACCCTTACAAATTATCTTCAAAACAGGTTAGTACCATGATTGAGTACTAAATGTAAAATCTCTTTCTCATTACTTTTACTAGAGGTATGAGTTTTTCAAAACACACAAAGCTGCTGTTGAAATGATGATTTTTTCCTATTTTTGGTGCTTACCACTTTGAAAACCTCAACCAATGGACGAGGTAAGCTATTCTGCCTGATGGTAGTATTTGCCAACCGAAGGGAAAGTCAAGGCCATGCCCCTCCAGTTTTACACTCATCGCGGCCACAGTGCAGCTGGCATCATTTCGCCCAGATCTCCCACTTAAAAGTCCACACAGCATAGCCTTTTAAGACACCCAGGGCCAGCCAGATAGCTCAGCAGACTAAAGTGCTTGCTTATTTACATGCAGAGACTGGGGTTCAATCTCTGGGGTGCCATGCCAGTCCCACCCCCGGGACACAATGACAAGGGACTGAGAGTGGGCGTGGTGGCACACACCTGTAATCCCAACACTTGAGAAGCTGAAAACAGGAGGATCTGTATAGTGAGATCCCATAGACCCTGAACTAAGTACATTAAAAATAAAAAGAAGACATCTTCTGCCTCCACCTTCTAACTTAATTGGAAAATTTAAAAACAATTAATGTCAGGTCTTCAAAAGACATCACATGAAGTCACTTTCTCTCGATAGACTCTTTAGTTTGGTATGAAGACCCACCAAGGGTATATATGTAAACAATTCTTAATATCTAGACAATCAAGATATCTACATTAATCAAAGTAATTTCACTTCTTAATGAAACCAACTCAGGGCCGGCAAGATAGCTCAGCAGTCTGAGCACCTGCTTAGGCAGGTGCAGGGACCAAGGTTTGATCCCCTGTACCGGATGGTGCTGGCACTACCCCCAGGCACACTGAGCTGGTCACCAGGGTCTAGGCATGGTGGCACACACTTGTAATCCCAGCACTGGGGAGGCTAAGGAAAGAAAGGGGATCACTACAAGTCTGAGCTTTGTAGTGAGACCCTATACCAAATATATAAAAATAAAGAAGAGAAAAGAAATCAACCAACTTTCATGACTTAACGTTACAAACTATTGTTAGTTAGCTGCATACACAGATATATTTAAGTTCAGGTCAAATAAAAAGTTTTAAATCTAAAAATTTCAACTACACCATGGGTATAAGCATCATTACAATATTAATGATTTATTTTTAAAAAACAATCACACAAATAGAATGAATATTTAACATTTTTATAAATCGAATTTCTTCTCACCATTTCCTATTTTGGTAATAATGACAAGAGCACTATTTAACAATTCCTAATCAGTATTCTACACATCAAAATTCCATTTGATTTTTATAAATTACAAATCCTATCTTTCAGAAAATTAATTGGAAGACTATGTAAAGAAGTTTATAGAGCTGGGGAGATAGCTCAGTGATATAAGCGCTTGCCTGGCAAATGCAAAGTCCTGAGTGCAATCATCAGTACTGCAAAAAAAAAGTTTACGGAGGCTGAGGCAGGAGGATCATTGTGAGCTCAAGGCCAGCCTAAACAGCATAGTGAGACCCTCTGTCAAAATAAAAAAAGGCTCTCCAATAAACGAAATAATTCACATTTACACCTCAGATAAATCTGATGTCAATAATGCTATTTCTGTGTAAAGATGCCTTTTCACTAAATCCAAGGTGGTGCAAGTTTCAACCGTTTTTATGTAAATAGCATTTACTAAAAAATAAAAATAGGTCCTTCTGTCTATGCTTCTTTAATAATCTCTAGAGACAAATCATCCTTGAATAATCAGCATAAATTTCTCATGAAGTCCAGAAATGAAATATGCTCATTAAAAAACAAATCCAGGCTGCCAGCTGGGAGGTGTGGCTCTGGCACAGCACTTGCTTGGCATGCAAAAGCTCCTCCATGAGTTTGGGTTTGATTCCTAGAACTTAAAAAAAAAAACCAAAAACCAAAAACCAAAAAACAGAAAAGCAAATCAAAGTCTCCAGCTTGCACAACTGGACAACTAAAGGAATTAGCCAGCTATTTCATTTATTTTAGCTATTTTAAAAGTTGATTATTTCGGTACCTTTTTACTTTTTCAAAAGCACAGCAAAGAAAAAAAAAAAAAAACCCACAGCAGTAAACACTAAAAAAAAAAAAATAAAAGCATTATTAATAGGTAGCAATAAGTCAAACAAGACAGTGCTCCTGCCAGAGATAAGAATATCTAAATTTAGTCTGAAAATAATCTGTTGCTATTAATTTTAAAGTGAATGTTGCATACTTATAAAGAAATGTCCTGGAGCACGTTTTAATGCAGCATATGAAATAGACTGTGAACAGAATTCTCTATCAATGTCAAACTTAGCAAATAAGTATCTGAGAAATGAACTGTCAATATTCACTTTTAAATCTATTTTTAAACCTGGCACTCATGGGAGTGATCTTATTTACTATAGTTCAAATGCCAGGCAAGTGAAGGAACAAACCAAATGTTCACAACCCATGAAAAGATGAAGCCTGTGACTATTTTCTTTCAGCGATATTTATTGCTCCCACTATTACCCTGTGACTGAAATTTACCTTCCCTTACACAGGTGTATCTGTCTCATAACCATGAGTTACACTTAATGGTTTGTAAACCAGACACTGCTTAGTTCTCGCCCACAGCTTTGTTCTCAGTAAGACATGCCGAAGATGCAACCACTTTTCTTCCATAGAGATGTAACAAAGAGGACTGGGAAATAAGCAGCAGTCTAAGCACCTGCGTGGCAAGCACAGGCAGCAGAGTTTGATCCCTGGAATTCCACGTCATGCCAGAACGTGGCATAGTGGGGCACGCCTGGAATCTTGGTGCTGGGGAGGAGGCTGAGACAGGAGGACCACCATGAGTTGGAACTATGCAGTGAGACCCTGTATCCAATTGAAAAAAAAAGATTGCCCAAACTCATCCTCAGCGGCATTGCTTAAACCCACTTTGCTGGTCCAAAATCTAAACACTAAATCCACGGTCTTCTAATAATGCACCAAAGCGCCTAAGGCACCACTGTGTGCTCATTGGCAGTATTCTGCCAAGATGGATACACAGAGATACTTAACATGTGGACATCACCCATACTACCTTGAGATTCAGAATTTTAACATGTAAATAATGCTGTGGTATTCTCAATTTCTTAGTTCTATATTGCTATTGTTTTGTGGGACACTGTGAAAGCAAGCCTTTATAGAAATCAATGAAATACAAGAAACATAAGGTGGCAGTATTCAGTAACTCTATAGTTTGAGAACTTGTACAGTGTCCAATGAGAATGCACATGTCATTAGTAATTACTGTGGGTTTTCAAAGCATTTAAAAGTCTCTTAAAAATATGTACATTAGGCCAGGGGTGGTGGTGCGCATCTGTAATCCCAACACTCAGGAAGCTGAGGCAGGAGGAGTTTGAGGCCAACCTGCACTACATAGTGAGACCATACCCGACCCCACCCCTCCCCACCAAAAGTATATTATTAGTCAGACATGGCAGCTTGGATTTGCAATCTTAGCACTTTGGGAGGCTAAGCCAGGATTCCAAAATCAAGCCTAGGCTTTGTAACTCAGCAGGACCCTGTCTCAGAAAAACCCAAGAATCCTACACAAAAAATGGAGATATAGCATAGTATGAAGGCCCTGGGTTCAGTTCTTAGTACTATCAATATAATTATTTTTTGGCGAAGGACATTTGGATCTAACCACTTAATCCCTGGGGTGCAATGAGACTGCGATTAAGACTGGGTGTGGGGCCGGGGAGATGGCTCAGTGGAATAAGCGCTTCCCTAGCAAGTGCAAGGGCCTGAGTTCAACCCCCAGTTCTGCCAAAAAACTGGGTGCTGGGGAGATGGCTCAGTGGTCTAAAGCACCTACTTAGAACAAGCTTTAAGCACAGGGACCGCGGTTCAATCCCCCAGCACCACATGCCAGTCAGTCCTGCCCCCTGGTGGGCTGAGCTGCCCCCCCCCACAAATAAATTAAAAAAAAAGACTAGGTGTGGGCAGAACCTGAAGCAGACGTGAAGGATGCGGGTTCCAGGCCAAGGAGGGGCGGAGACGCGCGTGAGGGCATGCAGACAGCAATATATACACATGCTCAACCCAGTCCTTCTCTAGGAAATGCAAAATTCAGAACACCAGTGGTCTTGGAAATCCTAGAAAACCATTTTGAGCGTCTTGCAGAAGACAAGTAATATAAGCAAGGAAAATTATGTTCTGAGAAGTTCACTGGTTGGCCTCGTTCTGTGGGGTTGTATATCCCAGTGGATTGGCTTTTGCTAAAAATGGACACCTGGCAGTCAAGTATCATACTGTTCCACTGCCACCAAAAGGAAGGGTTTTACCTCCTTTGTTCCTGCTTTGTCAAACACACATAAAAGCATGCTAGTTCCTCTAGTGTTTCAGACGCAGTTCGGACTACTTAATGGTCTACAGCAGTATGCAGTATATAAAAAAACATGTGAAAACACCATATCTAAAGACTGAAGAATCTATGGATGCTAGCCCAGCAGTATGTTTTATATGATGAGGACTGAAGCGTTGCTAAGAGTAAAAACAACTGTTCCTTTTGCCTGGTATATAGCAGATAATAAATATTTAGTAATTCAATACAAATGCTAAACAAATTGTGAGTTTCATCTTTACTGTAGGTGGAAATAGGCCTAGGGCCTCAGTTCTGATCTGTGCAGTCATACATTTAGAACAGTCATGGAACGCTTGCTGCATCTCAAATACTGTGTTACACATAATAAATGGTTCTTACCCTGAAAAAAAAAAAAAAAGTGAGTGTGATGGGGCCAGGGAGATGGCTCAGTGGAATAAGTGCTTCCCTAGCAAGCGCAAGGGCCTGAGTTCAATCCCTGGTTCTGCCCAAAAAAAAGAAAAAAGAAAAAAAAAGACTGGGTGTGGTGGCATGCACCTGTAATCCCAGCGTTTGGGAGGCTGAAAACAGGAAAATCACTATAAGTCCAAACTAGTGAGACCCTGTACTAAATGGGGGGGGGGGGGGGGGGGGGGGGGAGGAGAGGAGAGGATCTCATGTGGAGATTTCTCTTTATGTTCTACGGAAAACAAATAGGTCTTTCACCAAAACCTCGGTATTTCCACAGACCTGAGATTCTTCTTGAGAATTTCTAGCTATGACTGCACTTTCCACAAAACCTTCTATAGTGCAGAGGCAGAATGGTTTTGACCCAAGTCTGTTCCACAGTCCGTTTTGGCTGGGTCTCTCCAGTCAGTTACAGAACACTTACACACTCCAGGCACTTGCTGGATAACTCAAACTGTAACTGATTTCTAGGAGAGAATGCTGTCAAAACTCTGCTTAAAAAACTATTTTAAAAAACATTTAAAGAAACTCTGAATGAGATTCCTGTTTTTTTTTCATATATTACTGTATCAATATTAATAAAACATTACAAATCTAAATAAACTAACATTCCATAGGCTGTCTCCAAATTACATTTTATATAAGCTTTCAGGTTTTAATCTGTGATGATAAAAACATCTTTACAAAAAAAATTCTTGATATATTCTACAAAAGATTCCGTCCATCAAATCAGACATTATTATTTGAGACAGTGTCTCATTATGTGATGTGGGTTGGCTTCAAATTTACAGCGATCCTCCTGCCTCAGCCTCCCAAGTGCTGGGGTAACAGGTATGTACCACCATGCCTGGCTATGACAACTATTACTTACATAGAATTACAGTCAATTCCTTTTAGATTTCAGGGATAGGAAAAGCTTCTTTTATTAGACAATGAAAAACAGACAACTCATTTCACTGTCTTAGCTGGTAGAAAAGTTATAACTAAATTTTACCTAGAGGTGGTTCCTGGTATATCATCTGATACTTTATGTGGCTCTTGAGTTTTGAGTACTGTAGTGACAAATTTTACTACACATACATTTCATCAGGGGGCTTCAAAATAATGTGTAAGATACCAATGTCAAGGACTTGAATCAAATGGCACATTCTGTACAAATATCTCTGCCACTGCCTGCACCCCATGTACTTAAATGACAACAAAGGTACTAATAAATGCACAAAATATATTAAAGCTAATTTTCAAATTAGAAGGCTGACATATATGGCAGTGACAAAAAAACAGTGGATTCATTTCCAGTGAAGTATTTTCAAACATACAGGTCTCTAATCAAAATACTGTACTTTAAAATTTTAAATTAGATTTACTTACTGTGTTTTTTCAAAAGTCATACTGTATTTTAATTACTAAAAAAAATACTTACATACCTTATGTAAACAAGTGTCCACTACCCAATTGCACACATTTTCCAGGTCATCAGATACCTCAAGCCTAGATTTAACAAATTCACAGAGCTCCTCATTACTCATAACATCCCAGATCCCATCACAAGCCAAGATGATAAATTCATCCTCTTCTGCTCTTAAAACTTCATAAACCTCAGGCTCTGGAGAAACAAGTTGTTCTGTTGGGCCCTTGCCATCAACACACTTGTAGTCATAGTCCCCCAGAGCACGAGACACTGCTAATGAGCCGTTAACACGCTGGATCATTACGCTGCCTCCTGCATTTTGGATTCGCTCCTTTTCCCGTGGGTTAGAAGGTTTGTGATCCTGGGTAGAAAAGCAGACTTGTCCGTTCCTATAGAGAACAGCTCGAGAATCACCACAGTTGATAAAGTAGATGTGTGTAGGTGAAATCATCACTCCCACAGCAGTCGATCCACTCCTGTCCATCCCATTTCTGAGGTCTGAAAAGTTACGCATATATTCATCAATTTTCAAAAAGCCAGTTCTGATACCATTCTTGACATTTTCCACTGAAGGCTCAAGAGCAGATCCTGATTTGCCAGCTGCCCTGAAGTCTTCATTCGTAGTGATGTGTTCCAACAAATGTGTCGAGCAGTAATTTGCAACTCGGGATCCAGCATGACCATCATAAACTGCAAAAAAGGACCAGTCTTCCAAGCCGTGAGGAATACCTACAACAGCTGTGTGTGCATCTTCCATTTCCACTCTCCATCCCTGCATGCTGCTCAGACCATATCGTAAACCATTCCCAGCACCATGAGCATTGTGTTTTTCAGTTTTGGGTTTATCCAAAAATGCACCCATGTTTAGTAATGAATCTGAAAGAAAAGCAAAAAAGTAGGTGTTAAATGTTTACTTTCATCTTGCATTAAGTAAGTCCTAGCTGTAATTTACTTTTCAGTATTATCCTCACTTACTGCATGACACCCTACCTGACCCCCACTTTTTTTTTAATGCATTTACTATAGGGTCTCACTATGCAGCTTGGACTTGTAGTGGTCTTTCCTGTTTCAGCCTCCCCAGCACTGGGATTACATACAGGTGTGTGCCCCCAAGCCCAGTATTCTTGGCCAGCTCAGCATGCTGGTGAGGTCGGTACAACTTGTGGTGCCAGGGATCAAACCTCGGTCCCTATGCTTGCCTAAGCAGGCACTGAGTTCTCTGAGCTACCTCACCAGCCCTACTGTTCCCAATTCTGAATGACTTACACTAGAGTAGAACACACCCCCCTTCAAGGGGTGGGGGTAAGCATACTACAGACATCCCTGGCCTTACAGTCTTACGGCTGTGTGACCTTGAGCAAGTCCCTCAGCCACTTTACCTACTGTCACAAGATCACAATGAAGAACTGAGTTACTGTAAAATACTAAGAACAGTACTTGAAACACTAACACCATAAAGTTACTGCTATCCAAGACACAGATTCCAAAGTCCTACCCATACCAAAAGATTGTTCGAAACAGACCTTAGATTGGATCTTCAAAAAAAAACCCTTGCTAGGGGCTACAACTTCTTATTTAACGTCTTGGTGGTCTTTTACACCCAAGGTCTTGAGTTTTATAATTATTACCCATTGCAGTGCAACCATACTCACATGCAGTTTAGTTTTACACGATTAGCACTTCACAGAGATGTGAAGTCCAGCGTGTGTCAGCCTCGTATTTGCTTTTCTCGTTCAGGGTTACACCACTGCAGTTTCTCTACACTGCCAGAGCCGAAGTTCACACTGTTTTACATGCCCCTACCACAACGTATTTACCCACCCCACCGTCAATTCACATTTATTTCCTGTTTGTTCTTCTTACTATAAACAATGTCTTGAATAATTTTGTTTCACATGTATGAGTTTTCATACATACTGAAAGTGCCACATACTTAAAATATATAAAAATTTGACAGATGATCACCCCTACCAATAAGTCACTAAAAAGCCATTTCCAAACATGTATCTCACAAATGTTCTACAACACCATTTTCTTTTCTTTTTCTTTCTTTTTTTTTTAATTTTAGGGAAGGGTGTACTGTACAGGGTGGTCAGGGTCTCACTACTAGATCGGACTCATAGTGATCTACCTGTTTACAGCCGCCCAAGAGCTGGGATTACAGGCACACAGTGCACCCCAGAGGCGGGACTGGCATGGCAGGTGGGGGAATTGAACCCCTGGCCCCTGTGCCTGCTCGCAGGTGCTTTAATCTGCTGAGCTATTTGGCTGGCCCTTCTAACACCATTTTCTTTAAAATAATTATTTCTTTCAGCTAGTAATTTATCTTTAAAGTAAAGGTATAAAGAATATATTGTTATTTGTTTTCTATTATACAAAAATATCCACATAATGCCAAGGAAACAGAAAATCCTGTCTGTAGTAAATACACATTCTCAGTCATATTCCAACTTATTATAAGCACTGCAAATAACTCACTGCCTTCTCTTGTTTATATGAAATTAAGCACATTGATGGTATCCTGGTAGCCTTGTGTTTTCTATCTTTTTTGAGACAGGGTCTTGTTATGTAGTTCAGAATAGTTTTGAACTCACTATGTAGACCAAGCTGATCTTGAACCCCAGAGATCCTCCTGTCTCAGCCTTCAGAGTGCTGGGATTACAGGCTGGCTTCAATTTCTTGGCTGCAGTAATTTGCCTATGAATGATGTAGTGAATGATTTTCACGTAAGTGACTATGATTTCTTTTCCTCCTTCTTAAAAGTTTGTTTTTAATTAACGAAATCAATGCTTGGAAATATGTATCTGACTAGCATATATTTGCTTCTTATAACACACAAACAACAGGCTCCTACTGAAGCACAACTTAGCAAATAATGGCAGTCAAGTTAGAAAGCCCTAACTCCCATCAATCTTAAAGCAAACCTTCCACAATCTTATTTACTACGTTTCAATAGTGCCTTGTAATTTTTATCACACATCCAAGTATTAATCATTTTGGCCAACGCAGGAAAACAATGTTTCTTCAGTGGTACAGCAATCTATCTCTACCACTCAATGAAAAGTTGGTTTCACAGTTGTTGGAGAAGAGACAGTACACACCTGAGATCCCAGAAACCCAGCACCTGAAAGGCTGAAGCAAGAGGTGCTTAAATTTGACTATAAAGATTCTCATAATAAAACAAAAAGCTAAAGAGTCTCATATAAAACAAAAAGCTAACATCCAACTGTATAAATCAACATAAACATGAAATATGACTTCAAGGATAAAATTTTCTACTATTTCTAAAAACATTAAATATAGCACCCTTTCAGACTGGTATGGTGGACTGCAGCTGTGCTCCTAGTACTTTGGAGGCTGAGGCAAGAAGACTGCTTCAAGTTTGAGGCCAGCCTGGGCTACAAAGTGAGTTCAAAGCCATCCTGCACCACATCATGAAACCCTGGCTCAGAAAAGGCAAGTAACTTTTATAAACAAAAAGCATTTATTGTACTAAATATCTGTAGCAACTGATTCTAATTCTACAGCAACTCAAAATCAGTAACAGAACTATTCTTGTTTACCATCTACTTAAAAAAAAAAAAAAAAAAAAAAAGTCCTCCTTTACCCTCCAATCTTGCAAAGTCCTATCTTTCCTGAAAAGCCAGCCTTCTAGAAATATTTCCTTCTGCTAAACTTCACTGACACCTTTTAACCATCAACATTTAGCGCTTGCTACTTTGCACAATTAATAGCCCTTTGGTGTACACCTCTTATCTCTCAAAGTAGTAATTTCCTTTTTTCTCTCTGCCAAAACAGCTCAAAATAAATGTCAGATGATTAAAAAAAAAGTCTGAAAAAGGTTTAACCAAAAATCCCTCTTATCCCCAATAAATGTAATAAATTTGTTCTGGTTACACTTCTCCCTAGAACTGGGTAGACTCCCTGAAGGATATACATGCATGATACTAGAAAAAAGGCCTCAGGGAAAACCAAACAAAAAGCCTGTGCAGCAGAGGCACTCTCTTCTCTCAGACAAAAGCTTCTGGAGGTGGAGCAGCCAGGACCCCAACACAAGGTCCAGGATATGCAGCCATGCCAGGAGTTGTGTCGGATGGATGATGCCGTGCTTTGCAGAGGATGAGCACAGGTCAGTCTCCACATCTGGTCAGTATGCTCCCATTTATTTCCCTTTGATATCCCCATCTTTAATAAACATGAAAACATCGCAATTATCTTGAGTTAAGTGAACAGGACAAAGTCTCATGCCCATTTTGATTGGATATTTGTTGGAGGTAAGAAATAATCTGCTTCCCCTACTTTCAGTATGGGGGCAGCAGTAAGGGAAAGGGTCCCCCACAGGGGAGATGACTCTTGGCTTACATAATCTAGTGGGAAAAGAAAAATCTTGGCTTCTTCCTGTTTGGATCTGGATTTGTTTTCTGTTTATCTGATGTTTTTGGAGACAGGGTCTCACAAAATTCCCCAAACTAGCCTTAAACTCATGAGCCAACTACCTCAGGATCAGGAGTGCTTGAATTACAGGAACACCACCAAGTTTCCCCTGCTCCTTTGATCTACAAATTCTTTAACCTGTCTGTATGGTCTGTTCTTGTTTTCTGGTGCTATCACCCCATAAAATTTTTTTCTTACAAGCCAGGGACCAAGTAGAAAAGGACTTGGAAGAAAAGAGGACTTAGAAAATGAAAATGTACGGAAGACCATAAAAAGGGAAGCAAACAAGCCAACTATCTGAAAGAGAAAATTACTCTGAATTCATGAATTCTAGTTAGAAAAGGAGGGGCCGGGGAGATAGCTCAGTAGAATAAGTGCTTGCCTGGCAAGCACAAGGTCCTGAGTTCAATCCCTGGTTACACACACACACACACACACAAAACAAACAAAAAACTTGGGGCCGGGGAGATGGCTCAGTACAATAAGCGCTTGCCTGGCAAGCGCAAGGGCCTGAGTTCAATCCCCAGTTCCACCAAGAAAAAAAAAAAAAAAGTCTCAATATGA